TCGGTCTGGTTTGTGTACAGCGTTACCAGAGAAACCTATATTTCTCCCGCTCCAAAAGCACCTCCTGCTGGCAGAGAATTCATTTTCATTTTCAATAAGCCGTCTGATTTACACAGCAAACATATTTTTCTTGTTATCAGAAATAATCTACTGTTGAGGGACTTTGCTGTTGTTATTGATTCTTTGTGGAAGTCTACCGGAAGTTAAGTTTGGGCCACAAAAGCGTGCATGCGCAGTAACATTTGTTTATGTTGTTGCCGTTGAAACCATCTAGATGAGAGGGTCTGTATTACCAAAGTCCCTTTAAGGCAAGCCATGTCACTCGGCGGCCATCTTTGAAACGCCTCTCAGGCATGCAAGTGCAGCTCCTATCTCTTTGAATGGGGAAACATCAAATTCCCCCAAACTGTTCGCCAAGCTTACGATTAAATTTCATATTTGAAATTCACCAATGAAATCTGACAAAAACTGTATCATAAATGTTGTTTATTTTGCTTAAATAGCTTGCTAGACTGGCTAGACCAGCCAGTGCGAATGCGCAGTCCTAAGCGCACATCTCAGAACGCTGACTGTTTCTAAAGCAACGGGACTTCTAACGGCAGCTGCAGTGACGCGCTGACTTTACCAATTTGCGATTGGTTCTTTTACTCAGAAGGCTTCGTTCAATAGAGTAACCATGTTGAGTGTTGCATTTTTCTCCATTCAAAACTATACGAGTGACCGGTCTTGGGTATTCTATAGTCTTTGGTATTACTTACTATTGGAGAAAGCGTAATGGTCAGATTGGATCACATGTGCCTTAATAACCAATCACATTACTGCCTTGACATCACTGAATTTCAGTCAGAGTTGTGCGACACTCAATCGCCATTTGCGGATACCATAGGAATGAATGAGAAGTGCCGTAAACTGAATCCCACCTGTGGCAAAAAATCAGTGATTTCTCTTATAAAACGGCATGTTTTCAGTGTAAACTCTAAAAATAGTTAAATCCAAAAGTATTGTTTGGTGTAAAATATGTTGAAGATTAGCCGATAGGCTGTCGATTCATTAAATGATGAGCTGTTTCCTTGAAAAAGCTGTTTATTCAGCGTAGTGAAGCCTCTCCTCCATTGACATCCCTTCAAAAAAAAAAAAAAAAACGGCCTCTGGTCTCCTTTCCTTCCCACGTACTGCCAAAGCGGAAGTGTTTGCATTAGCCATTATGCTTTTTTGGCTAAAGGTTGCAGGCTTGCCGTCTAGTGGCTTTGTATCTAATGTTTATGTACTAGTATATCTAATAATAGATAATAGTATCTACAAAATAAAAACTAGTACCTAATGAAAAACTATTAGTACATAAAAATTATGTACTAGTCACAATTGGAACTAGTCAAAACCGAATAGCTGATATCTCTCTGACAGATCCCCATAGAAGTCAATGGCAAAAAAAATTATATTTGTTACTAGTAGCAATAGAACAGCTATTAGTCACTATTGAAATAAGCACTAGCACTAGTATCTATTTATTAGGTACTACTATCTAATGAACAAGTAGTAGTATCTAATAATAAGTACCGGTATCTAATGAATAAGTACTAGTGTCTATTTAACAGTTACTAGTATCTAATTAATGAGTACTAGTATCTAATAAATAAAAACTAGTATCTAATGAATAAGTAGTGGCCGAAGGAGAACTGGCCCCCCGACTGAGCCTGGTTTCTCTCCATTTTTTCTCCATTCTGTTTTCGATGGAGTTTTGGTTCCTTGCCATTGTCGCCTCTGGCTTGCTTAGTTGGGGACACTTCATTTCCAATGATATCGTCGACTTGATTGCACAGATACTATTTAACTGAACTGAGCTGGACAATGACATCACTGAATTTAATGATGAACTGCCTTTAACTGAAAATTGAGTGTTTACTATTTTCCTTTTGCATTGACACACTATTTTCCTATTTGATACTGTAAAGCTGCTTTGACACAATCTGTATTGTTAAAAGCGCTATATAAATAAAGGTGACTAGTGCAGTGAATTTGCTTTCGCCAACCTAGGGAGGTGAAATAATGTAGTGATGGGTACTCACGTCACCGATGACGTTATGACTTTTGGATCACGTGTCACTTAAAGGGTTAGTTCACCCAAAAATGAAAATTTGGCTGCGTTTTACTCACCCCCGAGGCATCCTAGGTGTATATGACTTTCTTCTTTCAGACGAATCCAGTCGGAGTTATATTAAAAATTGTCTTTGATCTTTCAAGCTCTATCATTGCAGTCAGCGGGTGTTGCATTGCTTCAGTCCAAAAGAAGTTAAATAAAAAGCGCCCATCCATTAAAAAAAAAGTGTTTCACACGGCTCCGGGGGGTGAACAAAGGCCTCCTGTAGCGAATCGATGCGTTTTTGTAAGAAAAATATCCATATTCAAAACGTAATAATCACTTGAATCTAGCTTGATGATCTAGCTTGCTTCTGTGTACAACTGTTGGCGCAAGCTAGATTAAAGTGATTATTACGTTTTGAATATGGATATTTTTCTTACAAAATCGCATCGATTCGCTACAGGAGGCCTTTGTTCATTTGTGTGTATCTGTTGCTGTCCCTTCCTTCGCAGGACCGAGACTCAGAACGGTTGTGTCTGTTGCTGTCCCTTCCTTCGCAGGACCGAGACTCAGAACACTGTATCTGCTATTGTTTCACTGGATGGGAGACTCAGAGCAAGGAGTGTCTTTTGGAAGGGTACCTTTATCCCTTTCCGATGAGGAGGAGATTGCAATTTGGTGCTTCTCCATTTCCATGCTGTGATTGGCATGGTTTCCTTCAGAGCAGGGGACATGGTCTTTCCTCCTGTGGAACTTATTTTAATAGTCCAAACACACATTTAGAAGTTATGAATGGATTTGGATGGATCTCTGTGATCTCGCTTTGTTTCACCCACTGCTGCTGCGTCCGGATGTCCTAATGAATTTTGATGGCGGTCACAGGCCAAACCTTAGGAATCAATCTCAAGGTAGGTGACAGGAAGAAACTGCATTTTGACCAATGAGAAGTCTTGTCCTTCCCGGGCTTGGTACCAGAGGTCTTCTTCTTGCCCTCTAACACCATGTCCTAACTACACGCGACACAACTCTGTGACACGTGATAAAAGGTATCTTTTCCATGTTAATCTGTGTTTTTGTCCTAACTAGGACAAAACATACGACAACATATGTCAACATATGACATTAGATAATCTCAGGTGATTATGTGCTTTATTCAAAGTTAAATGTGTCTAATGTGAGTTTGAATATTTTGCGTGACCTTATAGCCATACTAAAAGCAGTAAACAGATAGTTTACCTCAGATCTTGAAAATAAATTAAAGCAAATGTATGTTAAAACTGTGAACTCACTGCGAACCAACAAGTGTATTATATAACAAAGATGGTATCAGTCACTCAGTATGTGCATTTAATAATGTTAAAAAGGTTTAATATTTATGAATTAGATTATAAACTTAAATTTTATTGCGAGTGCAATGCGCTTCCAGAGAGAGCCTGTCCACACGTGCTTTTGATTGGCTGTGATATTTGATTGATTCTGTCGTGTTGTGTCTGGTGTGGACACCCAAATTGTTTGTCACTGGAATCTTGTGTCACGTGTAGTTAGGACGTGGTGTAAGAGGTGTCTGGTTGTTGTCCTAGCATCTTTATCTGATGGCACTGGACAGTTTGCTTATGTTAGTCCACCAAGATCCAATCAAAATGTAGCAAACCTTTGTCCACTATTGTGGTCAGAGAGGGGCCCCACCATAAACTGGGCCCTGGAATGTGCTGTTGTTCACTACACTAGTATCTTTTAAAAAGGTACTAGTACCTAAAGAATGAGCACTAGTAGCTAATGAATAAGTACTAGTACTTAATGGAAAAGATACTATAGTATCTAAAAATAAGTACTAGTAGCATGAAAATAGATACTAGTACAGTTTATAGATTAAATGTTAAACCAGCTTGCCATAGTGCTGAGGCATTATTGAAACTTAGGTTGCTTTGATAGCGGCTTCAGTTCATCTGTATTGTTGGTTTGGGTGTTTCTCATCTTCCTCTTGACCTTACCCCATAGATACTCTATGGGGTTCAGGTCAGGTGAGTTGGCTGGCCAATCAAGCACAGTAATATAATCAGCAAATCGGTTCATAGTATTTTTGGCACTGTGGTGCTAAGTCCTGCTGGAAAAGGAAGTCAGCATCTCCATAAAACTTGTCAGTAGACATAAACATGAAGTACTCTAAAAGACAGCTTCGTTGACTTTGGAATTAAAACACAGTGGATCAACACCAGCATATGACATGACACCCCAAATCATCACAGACTGCAGAAACTTTACACTGTACTTCAAGCAACTTGTATTCTGTGCCTCTTCACTCTACCTCTAGACTCTGTAGAGGGTGACAATGATAGTCTTCTGGATAACTGTCAAGTTTTGTGTACTGAGCTAGACCAAGAGATTGCTGGTATTTAGTGTATGAATGGTAATTTAATTAAACTTATAATTAAATATTCTAATATTTTGAGTTTTTATTTTTTTATTTTTTTATTTTTGAGGGGGGCTGTAGGCCATAATTGTAGATTTCAAGTTGTAATTACAATCTACTTGGAGATGCAGAGTAGGGGGCAAGATCCTTGAATGACAGTGCCCAATTTCTGAGAGAATAAGAAAAGAAAAGAGGGTCTCTGCAAATAGACTACAAAGTTCAAGCATTAAAAATAACATGGTTGAATGAAAACGAAACAAAAAATGATTTAAATGTGTTGGAGAAAAATAAATAAAATAAAATCTTTTTTTTTTTCTTTCTTCTGTGGAACACTGATTTTAGTTGTTTAAAAGCACAATAAGCAGCCTACCACAGAAGCAATGTATCCAGCACGGTCATATTTAAAAAAGAAAATATGCTGAATACATATAAATATCAAAAATTCAGTTCATTGTGGATAACAAGCCGTAGTCCTCCAGTATCCCATGATACCACCTGCTGAGTGTTTAGCGCAGCGACCTCAGAATAGCTTCTGTAAAGGAGGTGTTTCGTTGTTACGTGCGCACGTTAGTGTCTGAGTTTGCGCGTTAGCTGGGTGCTGCTGCGTGGATGATGGCTGCGTCGAAGCCCGTAGAGCCTCAGTCCGGGAGTGGGCTCCCACGTTGGCAGCTAGCACTCCTGGTCGGGACTCCGATTGTCCTCGGTGTCGGAGCTGTCTACCTGTGGAACCGAAGTCGCGGCAAAGAAAAGCAAGGGAAAAGGAATGGGGAGAGGAAAACCCCCGAAGGGAGCGCTAGCCCTGTCCAGGGCCAGCACGGTGCGACCAATCCAGAGCTGGAGAACATGGTAATGAGCCCAATTATAATGCCAAACTGTCCTCGTTTTTAATACACATTATTTATATATTTGGACCTGTTATTTTGCCTGTAAATATTTTCTTGACACCCCGACATTACCTCATTCTCAGTCAAGGACACTGCTTGACAAACTAGCCCATGTTAGCGAAAGTGCATTAGCCAGTTAGCTTCCAAACCTGAGCTTCTAAACCACACGTGACCAGAATCTGTGTAGTCTGCTAGAATTGTAAATTTCCCTTGGTTTTATAACCCTTTATAATGCAGGATATATTTTGATCCCACGCCTAATGGTTCAGATTTTTTATGTATAAAAATGCTGGTGGTGTGTGTGTTATATACGGGGGCGGGGAGGCAGTCAGAGTGGGACAAATCCACATGTGACAGTTTCCTTGTAAACTATTAGTCATGTATCTGTTTAATTATTGCTTGCTTGTAGTTAATATGTTGAAAGCTTGGCCTATATTTTAACGATAGTTAAGCCTAAAAACTGTGTTGCACATGGACGTTTGCATGCTTGGCATATATGATACAGTATAGTTTCAGTCACACAGTCAGGGTCAAATTCTGCAGTCCATCCCCTCAAGTTCATATGGTTCCGGTCAAAGAAAACCTAGTGGTGTTTGATTTGTGAACTGTTTGACTTGATTCTTTTTGGTCAAACGACTAGTTTGTGAATCATTCTGATTTAAAATTCGTATCTAGTAATATCAAATGACTGGAAAGTAATTAGTCAAAAAATGGGGGAACCTTTGGTCACATCTAATGCATGCATTAATTACACATAGAAATGCATTCATTTAAAAATATAAAATAGTGCCTCCTGATTGAACCAGTGGAAATTGTTGAAGTTAAAGTTATGGAACATATATGTGATATTCATGTGCGTGGTAACAGTTATATGTAACACCATACATGAATGTGATACAGCAGCTGCATTTCATCTATTATAGGCTTGCTCTGCCAAACAAAAATGAAGAAGCAAAGCATGTACTTGTAGCTTTCAGCCATAACTTGGAGTCATGTTCCGATTTAAAGATCAGAGAATTCAATCCTTTATAGTCTCAGAAGGATATATGCATATATCAAGCAATAGGTGCATTCTATATTACAGTATATGTCAGTTGTACAGCAAATTGTAGGTGTTCCTTTTTTATTGTTCATTTTTCTTTTCATGCATATGGGTTAAGGACAGTTGGCAGTATGCTTCCCTGTTTGTATTATTTTGAATGTGCTGAAAAGGACATCTGAATAATGCTTCTGTGTATCCTGCAACTTGTTGTGGAGTTATTGAGCTATTAAAATATAATATTACAATATCTAGTTGGAGTTGCAGGAAATGCGTAAATACTTCCATCAATATATGCTTCGCAATTTGTGAATGTATATGCTCCTTTTGTACTATCTGTGATATAATTGACTTCATTCTCAATAGGAAGATCACCTCTCTGTAAGCTCTGAGGATTAGACAGACAGACAGACGTGGGGTGGGGGATTTGGCCAGGACTAGACAGGGGGAGGAGTCTTGGGCAGAGATTTAGATTTTTATGCAGTTAAAAAGTGTTTTTGGATGGTATATTGGCAGGTGAAGGTGAAATTATTTTAAAGTTTCATTTTCACTTCATCTAGGTCTATTTGTTAAAGTTTTACAAGCTCAACAGGAACATCAACATTGAAAAAATGAGACAGTGTTTTCATTTGTAGATTAGGGAAAGACATGTATTAGGCACACAAACAGAATCCCCATGTGAAGCTTACTGTTGCAATACTTGCTAATCAGTAGCTTCTTTTGAGATGAACATTGACTAAGCTTACGACAAAGAACTTGGCAAACGCAATTAAGTGAACCTTTTTTCTGCTGATGTCCTGGCAGATTTGACAAATTCTTGTATGTAGCCTGTCTTCTGAAAATGTAGGCTAATTGCTTTTTTGTGTGTGTAGCTAGCTAGAATATACAATTTTCATATTTTCTAAATGGCAGTGATTTAGTTTGGGTTTGAATTTTACTATGTCGTTTGAAAAGGGAACTAGTTAATTTCTACTCTGGGTTTAATGACAAAGTTTAATAGAAGTATAAATATAACATATATAAAAATAATCAAAGCATGCATTTTTTTAAATCATACTTTTGTAGTTTTGATTAAAATAGTTGTGTCTGCCCATCCAGAGTCCCCTTGACCGAGCACAGTCTGCTAAGAATAAGGGCAACAAATACTTTAAGGCTGGCAAATATGAGCAGGCGATCCAGTGCTACACAGAAGCAATCAGCCTATGTCCCAAAGAACAGAAAGGAGATCTGTCCACCTTCTACCAGAATAGAGCTGCAGCCTACGAGCAACAGGTTTGACTCTGTCAGATTGTCATTTGTAGTATCACATACAAAATTTTACATGTCTGAATGATTGTTTTTTGTTTATTTTTGTGTTGTAGCTGAAATGGACAGAAGTGATACAGGATTGCTCTCAGGCAGTTGAGCTGAATCCTTGCTATGTAAAAGCCCTTTTTAGGCGTGCCAAAGCACTGGAAAAACTGGGTGACAAGAAGGAGTGTTTAGAAGGTTAGCATTGTTGCTGGTTTTTGATTTGTGTTTTTGTAATTAGAAATTTACAAAAATTTTTGCTTTGTGTGGAAGATTTTAGTCATGTATGATGCGTTTCATTTATTGTTTTTAAGCACCTCATGTTACTAAACAAATTGCTGTCACAATCACTGATATTAGCTATCAAGTTGTCATGAATTGGCTTCTTTTTTTTTTTTTTGAAGATGTGACAGCAGTATGTATTCTGGAGGTTTTCCAGAACCAGCAGAGCATGCTACTGGCAGACAAGGTTCTGAAACAGCTGGGAAAAGAGAAGGCCAAAGAAAAATATAAGGTGGGAATGTGACTGAAAGGTACAAATCTAAGACTTAAACAAACTACATCATATATTTATAGCATCTTTCTTTTTTGCTTCTTCCTGTTTGCTTTCTCATGTTTGCTCTTCTCAGAACCGGGAGCCCCTTATGCCATCTCCTCAGTTCATCAAGTCCTACTTCAGCTCCTTTACTGATGACATAATTTCACAGCCTTGAGCTTGAAAATCGAAATCGAATCGAATTGGAACATCTGAATCGATACCCAGCCCTAGCGCATATTTGTAAAAACTTTGTAAAAAGTCCTTAGCGTCACTCAGGGTCTGAGCAGACGCACACACTTTTTCTTGTCGGAGTACTGCAGGTTTTTGAAAATGTAAGCTGTTCTTGCAGCTCAATGATTAGTTATATTTTATATGTTAATGACATTAGGAGTTGTTTACAAGGCAGAGAGCTGACACAATTCAGTTGTGCGTATGTTCAAGATTATTTGCGATTCATACATTTCACATCTGAAAGAGAGGCGTGTGTACGTTTTTTTGTGCGTATGTTCATTCTATGAATCACACGTACGCATATTTGAGAGATGATCATAAGATCATATTTAGGATGGTTTCTGCGCAACATTTTAGAAATGAGGCCCCTGATCACAAGCTAGGAAGTGTACCATCACAACCCCATTGTAAAGTCATTTGCTTTCACTTTCACTTTCCAAAGATAATCTACCAGCTCCCCTTGATCAGCAAAGATGAATGAATAGCTAAAACCATAATTCAAGAGAATTATTAATTTACAAAAGTTAAAAAAAAAAGAAAGAAGATTTTTATCGCTGCTACTGTTTAATTGTGTTTTTCTTTCTCATTTGAATCAAAATCATTTCTTAAATTAAATATATTACTGTTAATTAACTACAGTATTGAAGTACTGTTTCCTCAGCTCAGGCTACCTAAAGGCTAAGCAGTATATGGAGGAGGAGAACTACGATAAGATCATCAGTGAGTGCACAAAGGAGATCGAGTCTGGAGGCAGGTACACAGCCGAAGCTCTTCTTCTGAGAGCCACCTTCTACCTACTGATAGGCAACGCCACAGCTGCTCAGCCTGATCTTGACCGTGTCATCAACATGGATGATGCCAGTGTCAAGGTAATGGGATTGGGATCAGAAGAAGCTTTCTTTTACTGCCATCATCTTCCAAATGAAGTGTCTTATTGATACTGTCTATCGGTGTTAAAGCATCTTTCTGATGTGTTTCAGTTACGTGCTAATGCGCTCATTAAACGTGGAAGCATGTACATGCAGCAGCAGCAGCCCCAGCTGTCCACGCAAGACTTCAACATGGCTGCAGAGATCGACCCCCGTAATGCAGATGTCTACCACCACAGGGGACAGGTATGATGACTTTGCGTAAATAAATACTTAAAAGATAGCCCTTATGTGTAGAATGTTCTTGATGTTAATATTTTCAGCCATAATCTTTTACAGTTTTTGAAGAATGAGTTGCCGTTGCAATAGCAACTCAAATCCCTGCTGAGTTCATGACTCTGCCAAGTTAATGACCTTGTCACCTCAAATAGATTTTCTGGCCTGCTTAATATTTCCAATAGAGGACACTGTCCTACGTGGATCTAATCCATGCTAACTGTGTGACAAGTTCTTTTATTTATATTCTATTAAACTTAAAAAATAATTAAGAAATTTCTGAGGCAAAAAAAGTTTTTTATTATTATTATTTTTTTTTTATTATAAATCTTCGTCTCACTCGTTTAGTCTGTCACCTCTTTTCCATTCTTAAGGGGCAGTCAAACTACGTTTTTTGTTCCAGTGACTTTCATTCACACACGTTCATATTAATTTTGTTGAATTCCAAAGTTTGGTGAACTCTTAACCTGCAAATTTGTATCACATGAACAGATTTGACCAATAGAAGATTTTTTTATAGCAATATACCATTAGAAGATTTGTCACACTGTGACCTCTTAGCTGAATTAAAAGAAGGCAAACTTTAAAGCTGCAAGTTTACAGCATTGCAGTAGAAGTACAAGTGGAATAGAATGTATATTTTTACACATTGCATTTATTATTACTTGTTGTTGCGTAGTGTGATGCATCACGACTGATGCATGCTCAAAGTCTAGTGTGACCGTGGCATTAATCAGTCAGTTTGACGGGCGTCTTACAGAAGAGTTTAATCAAAAACTGTCAGTAGATGGAAAATAGTCGTTTCGAGTCAGTGACTTGTGCTTCTGGGCATTTTGGATTGTTTCTGTCTAACATTCTTGAGATGGCATTCACTAATTTACCTTAAGATGTTTGTACACCATAGCAGCTACGTGGAATTTATGACGCTCATTTTCATTTACTATCGTTCTTACTTACAATTTGCTTCGCTGCTCTGCAACATTCCCCAACAACTGGTAATTAGCAACATCAAACTTGTGGAAATGTCTTGACATCCTATTGGTAATATTTTAATTTCTCAGTTGAAGATTCTGCTGGATCAGGTAGAGGAGGCTGTGGGAGATTTTGATGAGTGTATAAAGCTTCGACCAGACTCTGCACTTGCCCAGGCCCAGAAGTGTTTTGCGTTGGTAAGTACAACAGGAAGGTTGTACCTTTATGCTGGTACTGTTCTTGAAGCTGTTTGAATAAAGATGATACCTTTGCTTAATATATGTGGTCTACTATTGACTTTCAACTAGAAGAACCTGATATGAGAAATTCTACATTTTACTCTTTGTAGAAATGATATGAATGTTATTGGCATTTTTTTTTTCTCATAGTACCGGCAGGCCTACACTGGAAACAACCCAGCCCAGGTTCAGAAAGCCATGGATGGTTTTGAGGACGTCATTAGGAGGTTTCCAAAGTGTGCTGAGGGCTATGCTCTGTATGCACAGGTATTGCTCACCTTGATTGCATGAAAGCATTTATAAAATGATGCTTTATCATTGTTTACCTCTTTATCGTTCTTTACTTAACTAAAATGTATTGTCTACTTTTTTTTTTTGGTGATAGGCACTAACAGACCAGCAACAGTTTGGTAAGGCAGATGAAATGTATGACAAATGTATTGAACTAGAGCCAGACAATGCCACAACATATGTCCACAAAGGGTTAGTTTTGTTTTTTGTACTTAAAGAATCTTGTTCATCCATTCAAGTTAAATTAAGAAAACACTAATCAGTTGTGTTTCTTCTGCAGTCTGTTGCAGCTTCAGTGGAAACAGGATCTGGAAATGGGCCTTGAACTCATTAGCAAAGCCATTGAAATTGACAATAAATGTGACTTTGCTTATGAAACCATGGGAACCATTGAAGTCCAAAGGTTTGTGATGTTACATTGCTTCCCAGTTTTTCTATTCCTAATTTGTAAGTCACAAATCACTCATTATATTGAAACTTTTATGTGGCTATTACAACCTTATGATTTTAGCTTCTGACAAAACTAAAAGGGATTTTTTTTTTTTTTTTTTTTTTTTTACATTATGTGCTGCATTTAATAATACATGTCAATACAAATGATAATATCCTATAGAAGATATTCAGCCTATTAAAATAGTATAACTAATTTAAAGCCCTTTTAGCCCTGTACAAGAATTTTCCTGTGAAATCACCTTGCCCATCTCTTCAAACGGAGGCACTAAAGTGTTAAATGTTAAAAATGTAGCTGTGAGAAACATGTTTAATTTTTGTGCAAGAACATGAATGAATCTAGAAAAAAAATATGAATCACCAAAATTACATTCCTCTCATTTTATCTTCCGAACTGCACATATGTGATTTTATTTTGTTTAGGTTCTCTGTGAAATAAAAATGTCATTGAGGTGTATTTTTGAACAATGGCTCTCTTCTTTATAAATCTTAATGCAAGAAAATAAAAGAAACACCTTACATTTAGCAACTAAGTTCTTCCTCCCTGGTCTTTTGTTCAAGTTTTGCATTCATTTGTAGTCTTGAGATATTAAGGTACTTTTAAAGTCAAAGTGGCATGCCCTTAAATACATACATAAATGATTTTAGCAAATGGCTGCAATATAACAAAGAGTGAAAAATTTAAGGGGGTCTGAATACTTTCCGTACCCACTGTATATATATATATGTGGTATAAATCCCTGTTTTCATTTAATTTAAGAATTGTTCATATTTAATAAAACCGTAAGATTTTTTTTCTTGACTACTGCAGCCATGACCTCTTCGCTATCTACATTCATATATCCATCTTTTTAAAGGAAATTGATTATATATTGTTTACCTGCTTTAAGTTTGTTTTATGACGTCAACAAAAACAAAGTGGCATTACTGTCTTTTAAATATGGATTGAGATATTTTCTCTTATATTGTAGCTCTATTTTTAAACCATTGTTGACTGAATGTGTAACATGGTACAGGACTTGGCCTTTAACCTGATCAGAACAAATAGTTTACAAAAAATATGATGTGATCATTTCCCTGTATGCATGTATACATTGATTATTAAGCATCGCCTAATATGTAAATGTTTACATATGTTTCCTTATTTCGGTTTCCAGTCTGATCAATTATTAGTAATGGATTTACAGACCAATTTTGAGGGAACAAATCATTCAAGGCTGCTGCATGTTTGAAGATCATAACTGATTGTTTAAAATACACTTTACAATGCAAGCTAAGTGGCACCACCTAAAGGTTAAAAAATTAATTAGTTGCGCTTGATCTGTTGAAAGAAGCAGTGCAAAAAAAAACAAAAAACGCCTCCAGTAAAAATAAATAAATACAACGAGAGGGCAAAATGTGATGTTGGTAAAAGTTTACCTGTGTAATATTAATGTATGATAATATCAAATAAAGAAATGAGTTGCCCACAATTATTCATAAAGCAAGTTTGGTTTTGTGTTTTGATGCAAATTATTTTCATTTGTAATTACTTTTATTTAATGTTTATTAAATGTGCTTTTTGGTTAAATGCATGACCACCACCACATGACAAGGGACAGCAGATGAAAACTCTATTTTGGCTTAAACTGGCACATTTATAAATCCAATATTAATGTGTATTGTTCTAAATAAATAACTCAATTAAAATAATAAATAAAAATAGTTTTACATTTAATAATTTTATTATATTAATATTATACATCTTTGTTGAAGCCATTTCTGAATAATTCTGAAAGTAAAATGACAATGACGAAGCACTGACCAATACTTCATTGCTCCATTGGTATGGGCTCTTTAGAGTTCTTTTCCCAAATGTTGTAGAAATGGCACAAGTGCACTGTGTTGGGTCTTAGCAGGCACAAGTGCTTCCCGTAAGATTCTGTAAGGATGGCATGCCTCCTCACTTTTTGCCAGGGTAAAAAATCTAATGAGATCAGTAAATGAGTATTTGCACGCAACCCTTGACATCAAAAGCATAAACTCATTTAACAAATGTGGTCTTTAAAACAGGTGTTACTCTTTTGTCTTGCCAACATCCATCTTTCCAGAGTTCTTTGCATGAAAGTGTAGACATTGTGAAGAGCATCGTCATTATAGCCTATAATAAAAAAAAAAAAAGTAGGCCTACATCTAAAAAAAAAGGCAAAAGTACCTTCAGAGCCAGGTTGATAGTAACTTGAAGTCTTGCCTTCTCCTCATGGCTAAAATGTATTTGTGGACTTTAGACAGATGTTCTTCAGACAACAGGCATTTTTAATTGATATTTTTGGATGGGTGGATGGATGGATGAAATAAATAAATAAATATTTACGAATCCGTTCAAAAACGCTTCAAAGGTTGATGTATGATGGAGCAGCTACTGATGATGCAGGAAATGGGCAAAAGATTAGCAATTTTGTCTGTTCCCCCCTTTTAATAAAACAAAGTACACAACACACACACACAATAAGTTACTTTTATTAGGCTAATTAAAAACTCTAGATTAATCAAGAAGTCTCCTATTTTATTTATTCAGTAACACATTACAAATTACATACAACATACAACATGGGATGCATCATTAGAGAAAAAATATGCCTATTTAATATTCATCCCAAATCAAATTCAACAGCAAGTGGACTAGGCTACATGCACAACAAAAAATTGTTTTTGATTGATTTATTTTGGAGGCAGGCAACAAGTGTCAAGTCATAATACTATGTCGAAACCGAGCGGGTTTAGAACGCTTATTTTTTATTTATTAAGCTAAAATCTCGCTCTTGTAGAATACACAGTTCCACTGATTATCGCGTTCTATGTCGCGTCTAGACAAACTTGCGCTAGTGAGCGCGTGCGTGTGGTCGTAGCGACCATAGACGCTGGTATTTACGACATCGTTTGACGTGGACCGTCACCACCGCAATGGCGGATGCTGTAGGGGAAGTGCTTGAAGGCAGCTGGTAAGAAAACACAGATGATAAATTTTTACCGCAGAACGGTACCCAGACTGATATTGTTATTGGAACTTGAAGTCCGTTAAAGAAAGACTATTAATGTTGTAGCTTTTTTTTGAGTGGCAGGTAGACAGCGATGCTGTGCTAAACAGCTAGTCTGACTAGCCAAAGCAGCCAGTGTATTGTTTGGAGACTCCAGCTGTTTTCCAGACCTTCTCAGCAGTTTGACATTGTCATTTTATTCATATTGTGATCTGTATAATACGCATTTTAAGCGATAAAACGTCGTTGATTTTTAGTAGAAGTTGGTTGTTAAAACAGCTTTTGCTAGATGTTAGCGTAGCTTTGCACACAGTAGAGTTGTGATGATTATGATACAATCTTAGCTTTCATTACCACTTCACTATGGCCAAGATTTCCCCCACTAATATAGTAACGTATGGTTCGTGTTTACGTTTCTCGGCCTTTGTTAAAAGTGTGAATTCTTCTGTTTAGCTGTGCAAGACATCTTTACTAGTTATGGTGGTTTTCTGAAACTCTGCGATCACGTAACTGTTTAGACCGAAACAGCATTACTGACTTTTTTGAGTTGCTCTCGAAATAATGACAAGAATCATAGTTTTAATTATCTACAGAAATAACAAAATTGAATGGTGGATTACTTTACTGTGATTTTTTTTTGTTGTATATTTTTAATACACTTTGTAGTGATTACTTCGAGGACTGTTCCAGTTATGTCTTGAACAGGAAAGTTGAATCAAGTATTATCATCAGAGACTCCTCCTAGGTTAAAAATTTTCGAGGAATGAATGAGTATGTTTTCTTTTGACAGCCCAACTAAGCTGACAACTTATTGACATAATATTTTTTCCTGGTGCTTTATTGTTTAGGCATGTTTTGGCTTAGAAATAAGTTCAACAGAACTATTCAGAAAAGTATTTTGAATCTTGACGTAATACACAGCCATGTGTTTGTTACCATTTGTAACTGTCTTTTACCTGCAAAGCACTCTTTTCCCTCATAATCTACTAATACAATTATAGATTTTTAAACCGTTTGGCAAAAATAGTTTTAATATTAGATTTTAAGTTTAGTGGTTCTTCTACAAAAGGAAGAGGTTCACACATAGAAATCACAAAGACACACCTCTTTTTGTGAGCATTTGTGGCCTCTTCCTCATCTGCTGAATATGGACCTTCCTGTTTTCACAGACAATGACCACAAAGACAAATCATCCCGTAGGAGAGATAAGTGGAGCAAAGTGTGAGGGTGACGTATATTTCAGTCTGTAATATCAAAGTCCTTTACCTCAGATAGCGCTTTACATGTTCTTTAGCTCCTGTTTTACCTAAATATGTAAATATGTTGGATTCCTATGTCATTATTAAGGCATTTAGCCAAAATATCTGGATGTGGCAACTTGCATTTTTCTCACCCCAGTTTGGAATGCTTGGTATGGCTGGTTGTTCGACAGCTTTGATCTTATTTCCTAAGAGTATGTCAGGAACTTAGAATGACAGTGAAACCCATCATCTAATCATCAATAATCAGCTTAATTTGTGTTACAATTTGTGTTTCTTGATGTATTTAACTAATTCCATTGATGTAAATAAATGTCACCATGGTGATGCTGTCAGGGTGGATCACAGATTATTAGAAATTGCGAAAATGTGTCGGAATAATCAGTTGAATGGGTAGAAAAATATACAAAAAAATAATTACTAAATAAATAAAAGAAAGAAAAACAGTTTGTCTTTATACACATTAAATGTTTGGTGTTTTGTAATTGTTAATTATTGCTCTGAAAAAAAGTTTATTTTGTAATTTGTCATGTGTGTTTTAGCAGCAGCTTTTGTGTGCATGAAAGAATTGGAGCATTTGTGGTGTGTTTGAATGAGTGATGCACATTGTTTGATTCCAGAACAGTTGTTTTCTGCAGTAGTGTGTGTGTGTGTGTGTGTGTGTCAGATTTTTTTTTTCATGGCGGTATAGCAGATGGTAAAGAGGCCTCAGAGGATTTCTTTCTGTTTTACCTCAGCTAAAAATGCAATTTAGTGCAAGTTGAGTGCTTTTTTCTCTCTTTAAAATCCTCA